ACAATCCTCCCCTTAAGATATGCACGAATTTAAAACCTTCTTTCATTAAATATTTTCCTCATTTAATTTGTGAGGTTTTTGCGCAAATACTTACTCTTTACTAAATCATAGGAAACATTTATATATAACCCCATACCAGTGCATACCATCATATTGGTGTCAAACAATTCTACCACTTATTTAGGTCGTTTTTTTTTCTATTTTCTTGGTCTACCGCAACACTTATATGTATTAATACTTTCTTTCAATTACATTTTTTTACATAACATTTTCGTTTTACAACATTCTATAGATCTTTTAAACTGGCTGAAGTCACTGGAATACTTGAACCCCATGACGCGATATTGATTCGTGTTGTTCGCAAGTGGATTGTTCATTACAAAGACACAAAGAAGGGAGTCAGTTCTCTAGAGCTTTTGCTTGAAGATGAGAAGGTATTTGACCATACTTAAAATAATTTTTTATAATACGTATACTTTTGACAGAGTTTAATCTTACAATAGTATTAATATTGTAAAATATAATAATAAATAATATTGAAAACCAATCAATTAGAAAAATATATTCAAATTATTCATATCCTATACCATATTCGCACTATTTCAATTAATTTTTATAACAAGTTAAAGTTAACATGTTTTTTATAACATTTACACTTACTTTATTAATTATCTTATTGCTTGATATTTAGTTTGACTTTCTAAAAACAATCTGAAAAACTTCTAAAAATAAAATATAGGTAGTAGTTCATACCAAAGATAATATAAAAATGCTTTAAATAACTTCTATGTATTGATAATTACTATCGAGATTACTTAAGAATTAAAAAATGTCTTTAATTAAATTTGTCTAAATAGATTATGCCTTAATATAATATAAATGTACACAAAAGTGCCTTAAAGAAAAACTTTGCCTAACACATATTTAATTTATGTTGTGAATCATTGTGAAATTATATAAAAATACTTTGTTTTAAAATTTTGGATACCTAATATATTTTAGAAAGTGCCTTAATTACATTTTACATCTCAGTAAGTCCAATTATAATTTCCAGTTACGTAAATACAATTCATTTCATTACAATAGTCAATAACTTCTAATTAACTCCAATTTATTGTCAAATAGGATGATAAGATTCAAGCTACTATATCACAACAACTGGTGTGCATCTTTGACGCCCAAATAGAAGAGGGCGAGACATATGCAATGATGCACTTTATTGTGAGGTCCAATATTGAACAATATCGGCTATGCTCCCACAAATATAAAGCCAAAATCTATACAAATTCCTATACAATATTTATTATGTTTTCATTCAGGCACGAACATCACCTACCTGAGCATGACCAAGGGTAGACTCCAATTTCATCCTCAAAGAGAAAAACTGAGGATATAGATGGTAGCAAAGAAATCTCAGATGATAAAATAGTGGGTCTACAAATAAGAATAAGAAGTTGAAGGAGGTCAAAAAAGAGAAACTTTGAAGCTCGCCATTTAGAAAACTGGATTTTATTTTCAGTTTGATTATTCATAATTCAGCATTCACATTTCCTCCTAAACACAATTTTTTAAAGTTGTGATCGTGCCGTTTGTTGGCCTTGAATAAGGGAATTCCTCCCAGTTGAAGACAAGCTTTATTTTTTTTTCAATTACTTCTAATATAATAAATTGTGTGCTCATGCTTTCATTATTTCTCCTGATTTTAATTTGTTAAATGTAATCTGTTAAATTGTTTAGAGCACTTTTTATTCTGCAAAAATATAAAATATGCTGTATTTAGATTCACTAATTCACTAAGGTGTAACCTAATTAATTTTCTGCTATATTGCTTTTATGCTACTGGTATAGTCATATGAATCTCAATTTCAAGTTTCATTGCTTTTCAGCAATCAACAGTTATGTTGGTTTATTTTTTTAAATCCCAAATTTTACTGCTTTTTAGCAATCAACTGGAAGGATGGTAATACATTAAATAACATGATAAAAACTTGCCTAAAACCTGAGACTCCTTAAGATACTCTAATGATAGATGATCCCATTGATTCTATTGTTAATAGTACTTATCCAGATTTCTTGACTCATAGGGAAGACATTTCATATCTGAACTTTAGGGCCATTCTTGCGCCTACGATTGATGAGCGAGACAAGATCAATGATTGCATGTTGGGGCTAATTCCAGGCAAGGAAAGGGCATACTTAAGCTGCGATTCAGCATCTTCCTCTGACTCAGATAGCGAGCTCCTTCAAGACATTCATTCTCCGGAATTTCTTAATAGCATCAAATGTTCTGGTGTGCCAAGTCATGAACTGAAGCTTAATGTGGGTGTGCATGTGATGCTTATGAGAAACATAGATCACACTTTGGGTTATGCAATGGCAAGAGACTCATGGGAACTAAACTCGGGACTCATATTATTGAGACTCAGATGATGTCAGGATCAAATGTTGGTGAAAAATATCTTATTTCCAGACTTAGTTTAACTCCTACGGATTTGAAGCTCCCCTTCACGTTTCAGTGCAGACAATTCCCTCTTATGGTTAGGTATGCGATGACGATTAATATGAGACAAGGACAATCGTTAGAAAGGGTTGGTGTATTCTTGCAGCGTCCGGTTTTTACTCACGGACAGTTATACGTTGCGGTATCGAGAGTTACAAGTTCATCCGGGTTAAAATTTGTCATATGTGACGATGATGGTCAACCAAGCAATATTGCTCTAAATGTTGTTTATAAAGAAGTGTATAACAATTTATAGGTTTTTTCATATGTAATTTCTTATATGTTAAATTCTATCCTTCGAATGTTCAAATTATAGTTCTATTATCATTCAAATCCTTACATTCTCGATAAAATGTTTTCCCGTGCAACGCACGGGTTAAAAACTAGTATTCTCATATGCACTGAAATTTCATGTACCCCCACCCCCACAATAGCATTTCAATAGTGCACTATAGCTAATTAACTATGTATCTATTTCACTAATAGGTCTACACCATGCACTTTATCTAATCTTTATAACACTTTTAATTCTTCAATTCATTACATTTTTATTCAATTGCACCACGCTTATTGAATATTATCTTTAAAAAAAATACAAACCAAAAAGACTTAAATACTCAATGTGCTCTATTTTTTAAAATAATACCACAAATCTTGATATATATTGCTATTTCGAAATCTAAGTCATTCAATGTCAAATTATAGTATAGTTTCACATAATCAGTTCAAAAAACAATGCACTCTTACTAAATACCATTGAAATACATAAATAATACCTTCGTCTGCAGTATCACCGATTATTGATGCCACAACACTTCCATTTTTCTTCTCCATCGTTGACGCACTGGTTTCTAGGGTTTTATCGTGGATCGCTACTTCATCTTCGTTGTGCGGCCGGCTTACCTCCGTCGCCTTTGAGTTCTTCTCTCAAAAGATCTCTGCAAACTATGTTTTGGAATACGTCCGCACAATTGTCGAAAAATAATTCTACGTACCAATTGCTCTTTTGTTCTTTTACCTAAATGCCCTCTAGTTATTATTACTCAGACGCTCTTACCAAGTTTGTTAGGAGCGCATGTGTTTTTTTTAATTAGATCTCCTAATCTCAGCAGCACGTATCAAGTGATGAGTGGTGAGATTTTGTTCTTATTTCTCTCCCTAGAGGTTGTTCTCACTTGAACCTTACCCTATATATATATATATATATATATATATATATATATATATATATATATATATATATATATATAGGGAAGAGTTCAAATGAAAAGTTGTCTTCCCGTGCAAAGTGCAAAGTTTTCACTTTTTCATGTTACGTTTGCACTTTTTGTTGTTTGCATTGCACTTTTTGGCCATTTTGATTTTGGCCAAATTCGGCCAAAATGACGGTGGCATTTTTGTAAATAAACCAGTTTTTTTGAGCTATCGCGAAAAAGTGCAACGAAAGCAAGAAAAAGTGCAAGCGAAACATGAAAAAGTGTAAACTTTTCACTTTGCACGTTAAGACCTCTTTTTATTTGAACCATCCCCTATATATATATATATATATATATATATATATATATATATATATATATATATATATATATATATATATATATATATATATATATACATACTATTTTTTTTAGCATGGGCCTAGGCCCTCCCTGGACCATAGCCAGATCCGCCGCCCCTGATAGCAATCCCCTTCTTATCCTTCTCTTTTAGGAAAGTTGGGCCAATGGGATTGGGCTTCCCACTTTCCTTTATTATTTCTGATCCAAACCATTCTATACTGTCTCCCATTCATCAGTTTGGGCTTAAGAGACAGATAAGGTAGCCCGAAAGAATATTGGGTAATACACCCTAATACTTGGGTCACTCAATTTACCTAATCACTTATTAATGAAATGTATTAATCATTTCAAGTTTGATTAAAATAAATAGTCTCACACATTAAAATTGCGTAAAAATTCATCTGAATTTCTTTTTTTTTTGTACCCGTTAGACCCAATATATTCATCTAAGTTTACATGCAGGCATGATCTCTGGTGTGGCATCTATGCATTACGACAATAACAACAACACTAATCTGGTTTATTTGCATTATATGTAATAAATTTATGGGAACTTGTTGTCTGTCAAGTAAATATGTTGCAAACAAAACTAATGGGGTAAATGTTTCTCTTATTATTATTAAAGGAGTAGACAAAGACTGATGAGTCACATGACAAAGTAGAGCCTTAAGCATTTATAACATTCTAGGAGTAGAGAGGACAAAGTGAAGCCTTAAGCATCTGTAAAGTCCACATAACTAGGCATGCCTCAAGAGACATTTGAAGTTCATTATCATTTCTTCACCTATGACCTACCTACTAAGCGGAGCGTTTCCCTCGCCGGCCGCCGCAATACACTAAGGCCTAGGCAACACCTATTGTTACCTCTTTGAACATTGTATACACCACACCTAGTATGATAAAATCCTATTAGCATTGTTTATGATCGGGTAAGAAGATCATTCTTGCAGCAATACCATTGTGATTGACCAAAAGAACAGAATACATGCGTTTAAATACATCTCAGACAGGCTTATAGAAGGAAACAAAACGATGTTTAACATATTGTTAAAACTACACCCTTTATCCATTTCCCACAAAGTAAATAATAAAAACTTGTTCTCATAATGGGAAAATAAGAACACCATTACAAACAAACCGCTTAGAGACAAACAGAATCGGTATAAAAAAGAAAAGTCACAGTGCACTCTTCATTTATCCCAGCAGCTCTGAGAAGCTTAGTTTGAACAAAGTTGAAACGTCATTAACCTCTACATAACACTACTCTTCAATCAGTTACACATTCAGATTGTTCTTCACGCCTCCACACCTATTCATCTCTGGACTGTGCGCTTTTCTTCAACCATAGTTTTGGTGATCCATTAGATTATACACAAGGAACATATTATTAAGGATAAATCAATTATGGACAAGTCACACATCTGGAAATAAAGTTATTCTTTTATGTTGATTAATGAACCACCAACACAATGTCTATAGTCTAAACTCTAAACTACGGCCACACAAGGGGATTAATTGAAGGCCACCTTAAGGTTTTATGTAATTGCACATGGATGATGGAAACAATAACTTTTGTTAACTTTCATTTTATGCACACAGATTATAAAAGTTGGTTAAAAAAAAGATAACAAGATTGATCCATCCCTTTCACAGTAAGTGTCATTTGGGACACCCAGAAGTTATACTTTTTTGCAAAGTAAATATTACGGAGTACTATAGTTCTTTTCCTAACTCTCTTTCCTAGAGTAATTAGCTCTATTTATTTGATCTCTAAATTGTAGAGGTAGTATGCGTTATTTACTACCAGGTATAGTCATTTTCTAATTATGCCCTAGAGCTCCTTTTGTTAAAAAAAGAATAACATGAAAGAAAGACGTTTTTTTGGTTCTGTGAAAAGCAAAACAAACAAGAATATACTACTCAGTTACTAGCTCCATACCTTTTCATGATTGAGCGTAAGATGCCGAATCTCTTCAAGCTGACATGCTATATCATCCAGAAGCTTAAAATGGGCCCTCTCCTGTGGGCAACTACTCTCCATTGATCGGATGAACTTGTCATTCCTTTCTTCAATAGTCTCTAACATTTCCCCATCCCATTCATCTTCATCGACAAGTTTTAGCTTTTCATTATCAGCTACAACCATGAGATGTATTTGTTTTTAAAACGGTGAAAAATATGAGTACTAAAAAGCATGACACTTCAGTTAAGCTATTTAATTTTAGCCAACTTCATGATTACAAATTTTGTAATGACTACTTATATCTCAAAGCTTGTACCCAATATTGTTTGGAGTAATTGACTAACATCATTGTCACTTGCCTTTACAAATTTTTTACTTAAAATGCAATTTGACTTTTACACTCTGTTTGGGTAGAGTGAGCTTAAATAAACTTGATAAACTCAAGTGAACATAGGTTTAGTAAAAATTGGGTGAACCTAAATGAACTCAGATGTATAAATAAAAGACAATTATTAGAGTAACCAAGATGAATGAAGTAAAGTTTGGTTAAATGAAGGTTATACTAGGTTAGCGTATTTATAATACTTAAAAAAGAACATAACATCAAAAAACCTCTAATTCAAGTGTTCTTCAAAATAAGGTTATTTGAATTTTTAGGAGGCTTTCCAAGATGAACTTAGGTTCCCACAAGAACTAGTTTTTTGTCTTTAATTGTTACGTAGTAAAAAATGATTTGAACCCGTATTAAACCTACAAGAACATAAGTTCAACTCTAAACGAATGGGACATTAAAAACAAACTCTTTTTAGGACAAAAAGGTTTTCGAAATATGACTCTTTGAGAAAGATGGAGCATGTTAAAAGAAAAAGAAAAAATTAAAAATAAACATTTCATGTACAACAATTGCAACAAAAGGCAAAACATAGGAGCCCTAAGGTGTAGTAATCTTACTCTTGGTGCATAAGTTGGATCCATCCACATGAACATCATAAACAGGATGGTTTTCTTCATCATCAGAGCTAATTGCTTTTGACAAGCACTCAATTTCCTTGTATGGGTCTTCATTGTAATTAACCGAAAAACATTTTTCTTCAAGATAAACCACCATTTGTCTGTATGCTTCAACTTCCCTTTCCAGAAAGAGCTTTTCTGTTTCCCTCCTGACCAAGATCTCTTTTAGAATGGCCATTTCATTTTCTTCATATGCTGACTTTTCCTCAATTACCCTCTGATATTGCCTGGCTTCCATTTCTATGAAGGCCTTCTCCTCCTGCAGCCGGGAAATCATGGCCATAGCCTCCTCAGCAGCAGTAGCAGCAGCACTCCTCTCCTTCTCAAGGTCAACGTAAAGGGAAGACCGGGCGATTTTCTCTTCCTCAAGTGCTTCTTTCAACAGTCTTATTACTGAACTTTTGTCATTAATGACCAAGATTTGGTCCACATGGCCATTCACCTCTTCGCTGGATGAATCTGTATCATTAGGAAATGGACTTTCATCCAGTTTGTAGCTGTCTCCTTGCCCATATCCTGTTTGAATGGGAGCATGGATGAGAGATTGATCTGATTTCACAAGAGTTATAGTTTTAAATTAACAGATATTTTATGGGGTCCCATATGACTCCTCCATGGAGTCATATGACTTGACTTGGCCTCATTTTGATCACTCATTTTTAAAGTAAAGTCACAATTAATAACCCTGATATGAAATAAGTGGTCATCCTGTCATGGTGATGTCACATAAGTCAAATGACTACATAGTGGAGTCAAATGGATCTCCATAAGATTAACTCTTTAAATGAACGACCAATAGCAGCTTGAGGCACTAAGCTCGGTGAAGAAACACTAAAATATATTGCATATAACATAGCCATAGAGCCTCTGAATTGGGTTGTAATGAACATGAGTCAAACCACACTGAAAATTTGAATATAATATAACCAATTAGTTAGTTTAATGCAAGACCTTCTAACTCATGTAACTCTGTTTAGAAAAAGCGGTATTTGTTTGAAACAACCAGGCAGCCACATTGGAATAAGTTTCCCTAATCCCAAAGGTAAACTTAAAATCAGCCCTTTTTGGCATTGGCCGTAGTATAGTAGGCGCTTTGTAGATCAGTAGATGCCTTAGGTGGTAATGCCTTATGGATGTCCACTAGGCACCTTAACATCTATTCTAATGGTTAACATTTTTAAAACTTAGTGGTTCTATTCTAAAGGAGCCAATGTGACATATAGAGTAAACCAAATCTTATATTTGAAAACTCTCTATACTTGCTAGTGTGAGTCTGAGATGCCTTAACAAACACTCTGACTGTTTTGGGATGTTTATAGAAATACCAGACATTAAAAAAAAACTTAAAAGTCGCTTCGCTTAAGTGTTCTGGAATTGGCCGGACTAGATTGCACTCCCTAGGTGCCCTACTCTTCTAAGTAGACTTAGACATCATAAGATATTTTAGCTGAAAGAAATATATTGTGTAATTGTTAATGGTAGATAGCTTAGGTACATACATTCTTCCCAAGTCTATGGAAGCATAAAAAAGCAATGGGATGGTAGAATAAATCTGTACAAATGAATAATTCAGCAGTGCTAACACAGTACTACGTACAAACTTTTATCAAGGAAAAAAGGAAACTCACCATTAGAGCAGGAATCAGTTCCACTAAGGACATCACGTTTCCAATACTCATTTGTTTTAAGCCCGCATCCCATAACATCTACAAACTTACTCCCCGCTGTGAGTACTACTACTCTATCAGCTTTGCTTGAATTTCTTGTTACAGCTGAAACAGAACTAGTTGAAGCCCCACCTTCCCTCTCAGCATCTTCCCTTTCTTCAATCAATTGGTCATTGACCTCTATGGCAGAAAGTTTGAGTTTTGACACTTTTTCAAGGGCAAATTTAATCAAGAACTTGTGCAATTTGAAAATAACATCTGGGGAAAAGCCAAACAAGCTTAACCCACAAAACCCCAGAAAGTTTACTGTCAAGAAAGCTATTGTTGATGCAGATAAAGAGAAAAATGCAACAGCCAGATCAAGATAAGCACACACTAGGCTACACAGAGTCCACTTGTAGCCTGCTCCACATTCCATCTCTTTTCCAACAGATTTTCTGCCTTTTGAACTAAGCATGTAATCTTCTTTAAACTAAACACGAAACTGGTCCTTATATAGCAGAATAAATAAAATTTTGAAGGTGCATAGGGAATAACGAATAAAAATCGAAACTTTACTGCAATAATGGAATATATCCTGGGTTTCCTTGATCCCTAACCATCCCTTAGGTATAATAACGTAAAAAACAAACAAGCCCTGTAGAAAAAGAAGAAAGAAGTAGAAGATGGGTTCTGCAAATGATGAGCTACTCAAAGTGAAAAAATAGAGGTTGTTGGATTACTCGGATAATTTATGTTTTTACTAAATATGTCAAATTTCCAGACAAGATTTTCCTTATATGGAGCTCTACGGGAAAAGCATGGGTTTAATTTGTTCCCTTCGCGCAAAGAGTTAAGGCAAATTATATCCTATCCATTTCTTTTTTTAACTTTGAGACAAAAATTATGTGTGCCGAAAAAGCTGAAAAATTAATTTGGATTGTTTATTTAATTATAAAATGACAAAACTTAATTATTGAACCCAATAAACGACAAACACGGAGCCGAAGGATAATGTACGAGCGGACGACGTGGAAGTGTACGTGCTGACTTCCGTCCCGCCTGAGTTGGCATAGGTGGCAAAGTGGTACAAATATGGCCATTCAAGAATTTTCGTTCAACCAGTTGTGAGGTCGGTATTTGTATTTCCGTATTTACCTTTGTCTATATTTAAAAACAAACCGATTTACATTCCCGCCATTTTTTATCAAGTTTGATTGGGTAGGAAATAATAAAATAAAACTTATGTGGTCAAATGAAACAAAATAATAAGTATAAAAAATTAATTAATTAAAAAGTTTTTTTACAAAGATTTTGGGACTATAAAAAAGGGAATGAACCCAAAATTATATTTCATTTGTCGCTTAAATATTCGGTTTTCAGGTTTTTTTTCTTGTCATGTCATTGTCACATGAGTAAAATCAAAGCTTACTAATTCTTTCTCAATCATGATCTCTATTCATTTAATTTTTATGGAATTTTTTGTTATTTACAATGAGATATTTTAGTCATTCCAAATTATAAGATATGGATGCATTAAATGTGTTTATTGAAACTTGAGAATAATCTTGAATAATCAAGGATTCAATTTTCTATACCAGTTTTTTACGCAAATTGTACTATACACCCGAGTGTACATGTACAACCGGTATTTTTGTAATTCCTTACACTCGGTTGCTCTTGCTCCACGCGCACTAGCCACTAGGGCTTCTTCTCCCTTCCATCCTTTTTCTTTATTTTGATAATTCTTATAAAATTCTTCTTAAAATTAACTCAATTTGAATTCTGAAAACATTAAAAGTAATGATAATCTGATTGAAACGTCTTCATCATTCTATTTAACTAGTAATAATGATCTAATAGCTTCATTAAAGTTATCTTTTAAATACTAATATCCACCAACTGTTCGTAAAAATTTCGGAGTGAACTTGTGTTCATTTTTTGAGCAAATTTAAATAAACTTTGTTGTAATTGAATATAGTATTGACTATGTATAATTTATTTTGCATGGTAGTTCTTTTTTTCATTGAATCAAATAGCTTTTATGCCACTTGAATTAAGGAATTCTTGATTTCATTTGTTATTTTCTAAGTTTTATATTTAAAAAATTTGCTATTAGATTTTATGTTTGGTTTTTATGTATTGGATTCAACTATTAATGATTCTTATGTGATATTTTGAGCGACTAATGTTATACTTTTTTATCATTACACTAGCTTTCAAGCCCGTGCGATGCACATGTAGTGTGTAATTTAGCTAATTTGAAATTTAATTTCTATCGGATCACATATAATGTGATTAAAAATAAAAATAAACTTAGTCTAATATAGAGTCTGTTTGATAATACTAAAATAAATATAATTAAGTTATTTTGCTGAAATTGATTGAATTCTGGTTAAATAGGTGGAATCTTCTGAATCATGAAAAATATATGTGAAATATATTCCATTTGTGAAACAAAGAAAAAAAATAAATGAAAAAAAGTTAAATTGGTCTTCTACATAAGCATCTCAAGTAAACATAATTGTTATGAACCCAATAATAAAAAAATTCTATATTTCTTAATTGTTAGATCTTACAGTTTACTCATTAATAAGAACGTTTTTAATTGAATTAAAATTTCGGGTTTGATTTGGTATGAATTAATATGGTCTATTAGATGTCTGTTTTTTATGTGACTTATTGTTTCAATTATTAAAGTTTGATCTGATCTGATTTAATCTGGAACTGAAATCAATCCAATTAAAAACATTCTATTAAAATAAAAGTAAGAATTCGTAAACCTATAAAGATTTTCTAATTTGGATTAGGAATCTATTTCAAAAGTGAAGACATATTTGAATTTTAGGTGTAAAATAAAGACGCAACCAAAATTTTTTACTTATTTGGCTAAGCTAAACATATTTACTTGTGAAAATATATATACTTTATGTTGGTTATAATTTTTAGTTTCATTTTTAATTAGGAGTGGGCATAAAACCCGAACCGAACCGTCCCGTAATGGTACCGAACTGAATACCGGGTATTTAAATGGTTCTATAGATTTTTATCCCGTACCGAAACCGTACCGTTTGAAACGGGTACGAGACCGGTCCTAGATTTTGAGAACCGAAAAATACCGAACGAACCGTTCGAAAATAATGCATTTGAATTTTTTATATTTTCCTATACCAATAGATCTCTTTTATAGACCAACAATTTTATAGCCCAAGTATGTATATATTCATGTGTCCCTAAGATATCTAAATGTGTCTTTATATATATTGTTATTTTTTCTTTTTAGATAATTTATGTTATATTTTGGTATGTATTGAAAGAATATTATAATTTTAGAAATCATTAATGACTATTCATTTCTAGTAATGTAGTGTACATGACTTTTTGTTGTATCATGTTTGTGCAATTTTTACAACTTAATTAATATGGTCTAAATATTAGCTTTCGAGGTTCAACTATAAATTAAGTGAGAACTACGAAGTAATATTTAACCTAAAACGAAGAAGAACATTGAAGATTTCTAATATATTCAACAATTTGATAATATTCGTTTTTATATTTTCACATAAACTTAGTAAATTAAAGATGATATTTATCCCGTGTGTCATCATTTTGCTATACTTTTTCTTAGGTGTGTTGCACTATTTGTGTATTTGTGAATTTTAGTACTACGTATGCAATTTCTTGTATTTATATCAACATTTCACGTGAGTTGGTTGGTGTGATGATATCTACTAATTGCAAGATCCGTTCAAATTTTTTAGCATGGGTTTGACATTGTACCGTACCGTTTTATACCGTTCCGAAACGACATGGTACCGAACGGTTCTATCGTTGGAACCGGACCGTACCAGACCGTTAAAAACCTCACAGATACATTGCGAGTTTTACCAATTTACCGGACCGTTCTGGATCGCGCCCACCCCTATTTTTAATTATTTACTTATTTGAAGCTTACTAATTTATTAATAGGTGTCAAATTAATAAGTAAACTAATTTGCATATTTGTTTCTATTTAATTCGGTGTAGTAAACTAATATAAATTAGTTTCCATATCAATAAACGTTTTTAGAATTTCACTTTGATAACCAAAAATTATTTTACTTATTTGAAGCTTACCAAATTAATTAAGGTGGATTTATAAGGATTTTTGTTTCCATATCAATATGCAATCAAAAACAGAATCTAATAAAAACAAAAGGTATAAAAATAAGTAAATAATTGTTATATATAATGACATGGCAGGATTATGTGGCGCTTTGTATGCTCTTAAAAATTTCCTCTTATATATATATATATATATATATATATATATATATATATATATTGATTTAAAATGAACATTCACCAATTTTACAAATGCGCATTGTGTTAAAACTGGATGAACTTTATTGTTAAGAAATATTTATTCTAAGTTATTTGTAATGACTATGTTACATGTGTGAGTTATAGAAATGATTTTTATGTTATACATATATGAGCATCACTTTCAAAAAAATTAGCATGGTATAACAGTATAAAATGAGTAAAAAAAGAGTTTTATGCTATACCCAAATGAGTATAATATTTACACGAAATGTACATCGATATAATGTTTTAAGATAAGTACTATTACGGCTGACTATTCAATGAAGATTTTTTATGCTCAATAGGTTTTGAAATTTTTATACTCAATTGCAGAGTTTCAATGTTCAATAAAGGAAAGTTGATACTCAATGAAAATGTCTTGATACTCAATGAAATGTCTTGATGCATATTCCAAAATTTTAATACTCCACATTTAATTAGATTCGTATATTGAAATACATAGGAGTCTATTATGAATATAAATAAAAAAAATTATATAAAAGAAAAAATAAGAAAAAGAAAGTGAATCAAAAGTTATGAAGTAGAATTCACGATGCTCAATAATACTCAATAGAATATGTTTGATGCTCATTACAAGTTCATCAATGCCCATTTAACAGAAATCGTGATTTTCATCTCAATATAAGATGTTTGATGCTTAATGAAAATCATTATGTTAAACTAACAAACCTTACGATTTTCATATCAATAAACATTTTGTAATTTATGTATGCTCATTTGGTACTGATGTTATGCTCATTTTAAAATGTCATATCAATGCATATTTCAAAAGTATCATATTACATATTATTCGCATATTGAAATTCATAGGAGTGTATTATAAATATAAAATAATAAGTTTTTATAAAAGAAAAAATTGAATTAGAAGATATGAAGCAGATATTGTGATGCTCATTGTTAGTCTCTTAATACTCAATGGAACATGTCAAATGCTCACTAAAAGTACATTAATGCTCATTTAGAGCAAGCCATGACTTTTCTCTTAAATTACAAAAATGCCACCGAAAAAAATTGGATTGTATTAAATGATCTTCCACATCATCAAGATGATCCCTAAATAATCTCATGGATGTGGATGCCTTACAAAAAATCCTATGGTTGAAATTTAATATAACTTGAAATTCAAAGCTATCAAATTATTAAAATATGCAAGTAACTCCCGGAGAGTCTTTTTCCCTAGAGCTCTAGGGTTTTACCTTCATAGCGCGATTGCTTCATTTTTTCACGTAAAACTTGATCCCGTTTCATAGCATGGCGTCCTAATTGGAAGAGAGGTGTGCCAGAATGAAGTTGGAGGATGATGACTCCGATGGAGTGGAGTTTGATGATGCGACAGCGGATGGAGCGCAAGCGCAGTTATCATTTTTCATTGTCGGACGGATTCGGACAGACAAACTAATCAAGTTCCCTTTCTTCAAGGACACAATTTCCGACGTATGGAGACCGAGTAGAGGTGTGCATATCAAGGAAGTTGGAGATCGTAGATATCTATTCCAGTTCTTTCAT